AATGACATACCTTCTATTTTGACTAAGCGCTCGAAAGTTCCCGGACATTTAAAATATCGTCATTCAACAAAAATCCCCGCCCCTATCCCCGAACTACCCCCAAACATGGAACCCATTCCCGTCCAATACGAAGATTATGGACTGGAACCCGATCACTCAATTCGCGCCAAAAATCAAAATGGTAGCCATAACACTGAACGAAGATTCATTCTTCAATTGCTTTGAAGATGTTATGAGCTTGTTAAATGTTTGTAAAGAGGGAGAAGACAGTATTTTCCGACTATTTATATATATATATATTCCCTTAGCTCCGGTTGGAGCATAGGCCATTAACCACTTCCGTCCTCCATCGGGTTCTGTCCTGGGCAAATCTTCCTAAAGTGGCCCAAGTGTGGCCCCAGTTTCTCATTTGGGACTCTACACCTCTTCTCCAGGAGTTCCTGGGACGACCCCTCTTTCTCTTGCCCTGAGGGTTCCAACGTAGTGCCTGCCGGGTGATGTTGTTAGCCGGTTTCCTTAGGATGTGACCTATCCATCTCCACTTTCTCTTTGAGATCTGAGTTATGATTGGTTCCTCGCCTGCTAATTCCCACAGCATCTCGTTCGTTACCCTGTCAGTCCAACTGATTTTTAAAATTCGCCTAAGGCACTTATTGACGAAGGTCTGCAATTTCTGGGACGTTTGGTTAGTTGTTCTCCACGTTTCAGAGCCATAGAGGAGGACTGCTTTGACATTGGTGTTAAAAATTCTAAATTTGGTTCTCCGTGAGATGACATGGGAGGACCACACTTTCCTCAGCATATTGAAAGCTACTCTGGCTTTGTTTATCCTGACCTTGATATCTTCATCGGAACCTCCGTCAATGCTGACTACACTGCCTAGGTAGACAAAAGATGTTACTTCCTCCAAGATGGTATCCCTCACTTTAACTGGTCTGTTGTTGGTGCAGTTGACCTTCATAACCTTGGTCTTACTCACATTCGGATGCAGGCCTAACTTGATGGAATTAGCTGTTAGCCGTGCTGTTTTGTCCTGCATTTGTTGGTTGTTACTTGACACCAGGGCGATATCATCAGCAAACTCTAGATCTTCAAGTTGCTCCAATAAGTTCCACTGGATCCCATTTCGCTGTTCTCTAGTTGTTTCCTTCATGATCCAGTCCATAGACAAGAACAATAGTTTCAGTACAAAGAAATTGCAAGATTATAAGAGAATTATCACTACATGTTAAAGCTGTGCTGTCGTGTTAGCTTAGCAAAATTCTGCAGATTTTAAAAAATGAGATTACTTCTTTTTCTTTTAATATATTTGACCTCAACTTGTTTACTTCAACTGGAAACAAAATCTTATAGCTGGATAACCGACAACGGACAATGAAAAACAAATTTCTGCGGCTGCAAAATTCCCATGATTTCCAAGTAATCCATTGTTCCTTTGCTGTAACCTGAACAACTAATCCAGATTAAATGTTGGAATTTGTCTTAAGGTAATTTCAAATACATGTTTGTGGTGCAAAAATATACAACTTAGAAATACATCACGAAATGTCTTTAATCAATTAATACGTAAAATAGATTCCACAAAAATGGAGAAGTGTTGATTTGGATAATGCAAGAGAAAATAAACTTTCCATTTTGAAAGCTAAGAATTTTCGAATTTCTTTGGGAATTTAGGTGTTTACCAACAAAAATCTGTTTAAGCAAAACGTAAGTTTATGTTAAAGAGATACGGAATGGTAGATCTTTATAGGTTTGCCCTAATCATTATTGAAAAATAGAACAGTAAAAAGTTGATCGTAATTAAATTTATTTTGTAATTGCTTATCTGGATCTCTTTTCCATAACATCAACACACTGTAAGAGAATTGATTTAAAAGAACGAAAAATCTTTGTTCCTTCGTAGACTTCAACTCGTTAAAAAGTGTTTTTAGACTTTCAATTTAAATAGTTTCTTAGCCGTGATGAAAACGTTTTGATTTGGAAATCTCTTGGGCCATTGTAGCAAAGAAAGACTTAATCTAGTGGATTGATGAAGCATTTGCCAATGATAAACAGAGCACTTCCTACCCTATTTTCGAATCTCAAAATGAACACGCACACCTTGGTAGCAGCTGTAACCCTGAGGTTAGGTGTATCTGCTCTCCAGCTTTTGATCAATGTGAAATTGCAGACTTGTTAAATGAGATGCAATGAGTCTATGAAGTTCATATATTTTGAACTGCGGAACACTAATGATGTATGCGGAACTTTAATGATGTATGCGGAACTCCAATCATGTATATTTTTTAAAGTTTAAACTCACTGATAGTTTCTCTTTTTTTACATTTATCCATAGGTTTGGTTCCAGAATCGTAGGGCCAAATGGCGTAAGCGCGAACGCTTTGCCCCAGTCCCCGTTCCTGTACGGTCACTCACCATGGGATCTATTTACGATCGACATCCGCAGGCCCCAGCTTGGTCGCGTCCATCTAACAGCTGTATGAACCCGACAGGGCATGGGGCGGGGCCAATGCCTCATCACATGTCTGTACCAAGTTATGCACCTGTTGTTCACGTGCATCATCCGTTACCACCAAACAGGCATTCTCCGCGGTCGCCTTCACCAGAGTCTCCTCCTCACTGTGCTAAAGTGGGTGCCATGACAACGTCAACTTCGGGAATGAAAAGATCGCCAATTGCTCATCCTAACGTTACCATTTCACAGCATGGCCCTTCCAAGCAACTTCCTCCTTGTGCGCATGTTCCACAGCAACGCGCAAGTCACTCCCCTGGTGACGGTTGCCATGGCTCGCCGGGCTCTATGACGTCACAATCTTATTGCGAGGAACGTGAGCCCGCGTTACAGAGTCCTCAGCGTCACAGCTCGAGTATTGCCGCGTTGAGGATGAAGGCCAAAGAACATGCAGTTGGAGTGGATATGGGAAGAACACTGAATGGAAGAGCAGAAGTATGAATCAATTCGCTGGTTTTTCCGCAATAGAAACTGCTCATTGCTTATATTTATTCCTTTTGATTCGAAGAAGCTATTTTAAAACCGTCACCTCAGACCGATTGTCTTGGGGTGGCTATGCTATGCTAGTTAACAGTAATTCCAGAATGTTAGCTCAGTGCAGAGCAGATACTGCAAAACAAAAAGCATGAGTACAGCAGTATAAAAAAATTCATGTCTGATTTACGTCTTAACCTTCATTTATGGTAGCAATCCTTCTTTCCAGTTTTTCGACCATTTCTTTTTTTTTTTTTCCCATTTCCTGTAAGACCTTTTGGTGTTAGCAAATCTAGCATGGCATACCACCCTTCAATTGTGATTCTTTCATATCACCATTTAGTTTGTCTCAATTTTCCATTTTGTTCAGAATCGGAATATTAATTTTAGCTAATTAATTTTCAGAACTTTCTCACTCCCTATGTCACTGCATTGTCATAAACACCGTTGTCATAAAGACGTACCGTGATGGCCACTTGTCCTGGTCGTCTGCCGCTGATGTACGCTGGGTATGAAGTTTGCTGTAAAGACACGGGAGTTAAAATCTATTTTTTTATCTTAACCATGTCCTTATCACTCTTACGGGAATCATCCACTGAAAAAGAAGTGAAAATATTCTGTCAGAAGTGGGGAGAAAGATTAGGAATAAGTATCAACTCTTTGGATCGATGTCAGTGTGTGACCCACTGCGCACCTACCCGTCCCATAACCCGAAAAAGGGAAGGGTAATGATGGGTTAGGGGAGGGGCGGGTACGCAGTTGCCCAGATACTGAAATGATTCAACTCTTTCAGGGCTTACGTTTTGGAAGTGTGACGTTTCTTGGCTGCTACTATTGTTTTGACAATCCCCGAGGGTTGTAACGTGGGGGTGAAAATTCCATAACTGTTTGATAATGATAGTAGCAATCACACAACGGGATGCGTTCCAAATGTCGCTTAGCAGGAAATTTCCAGCTCTCTTCTTTACATATCTGTTCGTTCAGTTTACGAAAACACTTGTTCCATCCGTGGATGTTTCCTTGAGAATATTGGGCTCGTAGTGTTCGTTTTGGATAAAATATTGGTAGAAAAAAGAGGAGAGGACAAAATTGCTTGTGGGTGGGAGGGGAGAGAAGGGACGGGTGTTTAGTGAAATGCTTTCTTTGATATGTTCTCAAACAAGTCGATTTCTTGGTTTTCACACCATGGTAGAATTTATTACTGTCCTTATTGTCTAAGGCTTGGTATTTGCTTATTCAAAGCATGTTCTTAATAAGCGGTAAAATAAGCCATGTAGTTTAGCTAAGCTTGTTCATGTCTTGGTTCTGCTCGTAGCACTCTGAAGGGAATTGAAGATTATTATTGTATCAATTGCTTTTTTGATGTACAAATGGTTGCGGATATTACATGGTAAATTTATTTTTAAGTATAGAACTCTGTTTTATAAGCTATAAACAGACGAGTTGTTTAAGACATGATGAAGATAGTGTAAAGTTTTCCTTTTTAAACGCGGGTATATTATTCATCATTAGTTCGTGGCGAAGAAGACGCACTTCGCTTTAACATAGTTAAAGATAGGGGTTATAATCAAGGTGCCTCCATTACGACAGAACATTTACACTTCCCTCGAAAGAATTATGATGCTTCTCGTAATCTGATGCAACGCACTACATTTTGGCAACCTACAATTTCCTAAAGAGATCTCATATTGAGCGAGGTAGAAATGGAAGGCGTCTGGTGTTTTGAAAATTTTTTCCATCATCATATACTAACGTACTTTGAATGGTAATTTGTTTATATTATGGATGGTTTAGCGATGGGTGATACCTTTTTTTACAGTAACTGATTGTTGTTTCTATTAATAATGGTCTTCTGATAAAGTTGTTGTTTATTTAGATGTGCGATAAGTGTTTTTAAGAACCTTTACACCAATGTGTGAACCCTTTTTACAACCTGGGATCAGTACCCATATTCTCTTAAGTCCTCTCTATTGTTTTCTTTTGGTGCCGACAAAGAGAATTCGTTTCACAATCAAAGTTTCCCAGGTTGGCAAACATTTCCTTTTATTCTCGTGATCTTAATGAATGTTTCAATAGTATTGCTTTCTAGCTAGAGAAATGATATGCTGACCATTCTTGGGCTTTAAAGGGTCAATACAGTCAGAGTCTCTCTATTTCTTTCGTTGGCTTTTACTTGGTCTGTTTGTTTGGCTTTTAAATTTTCGTTAACACAACTACAGGCTAAACTTTCCTCGACTGAATTTAGTCAGCAAAACCCTGCTCTCTCCTCATTAGAGAAGTCTGTGTTTTTGCATACGAACATCTCATTTAATAGCCTGAACGTGGACTAAATTTCCTAGTATAATTGAGAAGCTCTGGAGAACCATCCAAATGTTATTGTGTAAGGACTAAAAGTAGATATTGTAAACTTGATAGCAAACAAGTCGTTTGTGAAAACAATTATTCGCTATAATGTAAAGTATCTTTAGCTTGGCTTTGTGAATTATATTTCAAGTTCCGTTCATGGAGTCGTACACATAAAGAGACGGGATATTTTTAATATTGTGTCTTGCTTTTTTCACATATGAGTGTTGTATTAAAGAACAAAACTGCTTCTCGAAGGCACATTGTAGATGTTGTTGATGTTTGATTTAAATTAAAACTAGCTTGCAGCGCTCCCCCGTTTATGATAAAATCGCGATCTATATCTTAGAAATTATTAAAGTTGATGTGATCACCGACGGAAAATAATCTGTTAGCCGGAGGATGGAAAATTGTCATTAGCTGCGAGAAATTTATATCAAGTTACAACCAGAGTAGTGTAAAATAAAACTCTTTTGAACTGAGTGTCAAAAGCAAACTGGGATTTCTTTCGTTTTGTTTTACTCCGCTCTTTGATTGGTCCACAAAATTCGCGCCACTCTCTCGACCAATCAGATGCAAAACTAAAACCAATCACGACTTGAACTCGCGCCAGTTTTCCTGACAGTTTGCTTGTTTTTACTTTGCTCTTCCTTGGTTATGGTTCTTCCACTAGATTGGCCATTGGGATTATCTTGGTTTTGGTTTTTCGACACTCAGTCGAAATGAGCTCCAACACGGACCAAGAATTACGACTTCATATTGGTATTGAAGTTTTCATGTGTTTCGGACTTTGTCCTCTGTTGTAGCGAAATATAAATTGCTGGTGAATGATTGTGAAGCAGCAATTCAAGTTACTGGACTGGTCGTATTCGCAAATCACGTTGAGTCATTTGCAGCGAGAAATTTGCTAGTATGTCAAGCTATTTTATGATTTCTTTCGTGGAGAAATATAGTATAAGGAAGAATCAAAGAGTGACAAAACTCGTCATGCTGGAGTTAAACTTGCAATGTTGCAAAAAATCCGTAAACCCCTCTTCATCTGTTGAAAGCCAAGTTCGTTGCATTCCCGCATAACTACTGGTAAGCGCCATGGGTGAAAAAAATTAGATTTCAGACAAACTCGGATCGTGCCATTGATTTAAATCCGATGAAAAGGAAATCTGAATAAGTCATAGCAGAGGATTTTTACTTAAAGGTTTTGACCTCGCCCACACAGACAGAGATACTTTACAAAGTAATTAATTTTACGATCCACATCGTTCAGCGAACAAAATGGAGCGATTAACATGGCAGAGCATGCGCGCCCTTTGCTGGTGACAGAAACTTCGCGTACCTTTTTGTAATACCGTTTCTAGTTGCCCAAAATGGAGTAAAAATGTGGAAGGTGTGGCCTACGACAAAGGATTTGAAGTTTAAAATTTAAGCAAAATTTATGCATTCGAGGCATTGTTTACGAATCCATAATTAATGCAGTAAATGGTTTGAACCCGGGGGTAACATGTGAAGGTGTAGTCTGATCGTCCGGGTGAGTGTAGTCCTGAGAAGGACTGTTGTCGGTGGTAGTGACTGACGTTTCGACAACCTGTGCGGAAGTCATCATCAGAGTCAAGTGAATGATTGTTGTCAGTAGAATGGACTATCAGACTACACCTTCACATGTTACCCCCGGGTTCAAACCATTTACTGTATTATTTCAGTGCGGGCGAATTTCGGGGATATTTATTAAGGGGGAGTGCGTGACAGAAGTATGCGAAGCGGAACGGAATTGACGCGTTGTTGTGTTGCTGTTTCTAATTTCTTCATTAAATGAAGA